ATGATTTATTGCAGTTCTCTTACAAGTTAGTATTTTGTACTTTTATCAGGTTGAACCCTGCAAGAGCAGCTACTGAGTTTGCCATAGTGCCAGTGACTAGAATAATCTGCCTGGTGACCTGAATCCTCACCCTCTTATCTGAGGGCATTTTCAGTTGTATGATTTCTTTCACTGCTTTGTCTTCTCTGCAACATTAATGGAACCCTCTTGGACCAGGCTGTCATTGTAAATTAGAATTTGTTCTCAATAGACTCATCCATTTGAAGAAAGAAATATTATATCATATTAAAGAATCAATGATTCAGCAGATGTACTATTACTAAAAGTAAAGGAGCCCTGGCCAAAAACTGAGAAACGAATGGGGAAAAGTCCAAAACAACATGTGCAATATTGAAGAACAGAGATTCAAGAAACAATGCATTGTGAATCCCTAAAGTGATGTGCTTGCAAAGTACTGTTTGAAAATTAAAGAATTTATTAAAACAAATATTTAAATCTGAAAAGTACACAGAACTCATTGGCTGTGAGAACTGGGAAGTCTGTTTGATTAGTACCACAAGTATGATTTGCCATAGGAGTGACTGTCCTTTCTAGTTATCTGTCCTCCTGTAATGTAGTTGGCTAGCAGGAATCAGTAATATTGTATAGTGTTTTTTTACCTACTGGTTGTGCATTGGTTATTTGCTCACAAAAAATACACTTGCAACAGCAACAAAACAATAGAAATAATGGAAACAGACATTTCCCTGCCCATGACAAAACCCGCCTCACAGTGCAAACAGTGAACATTTTGTTCTTTCAGCCAATTCTGTTTCTTTCAAGAATAAAGGTTAAATAAAGATTTAATTTCCACGTCTGTTTATAATGGTATTTCTCATTCGACTAGATTTAATTTCCCAATACCCTCAGCCAAGAAAGCTGCAGTGGCACACTTTTCCCAGCTGGGCTCTTTCTGTCACATCACATTTGAGCTGTACAAATAGCTATGCCCATCCTGTTTACTGCCCACCAATAACACGGCTTTCTTAAAGAAATACATCTCACTAATGATAAGACACCACCACTAGTCCTACCTCAAACAAACCGTCTTCTCATTTATTGAACATTTTAATGCTAATTCATTCAAAAAAAACCTCTTGAGTGGCTCACTTAACAGATCTGAAAAACTGAGAGCTGAGCTGCTGTTTTTTTCTGCTTGAACAGTGAGGGCCTGAGGCACAATCTAAAATAAATCTTTCTATATTACCTCCAATATACTGCAGTCAGTCAAAACATAAGCAATTTTATTTATATATAATGCATTTGAATAGGCTACAGCAAAAAAATTGCTATAAATCTGTTTATAATACTTGTTCCCCTCCACTGTCTCTTAATACTATGCAAGTTTTAATTTTGCTCCGCAGTTTTCCCTAATCGTAGCCTTTCAACATTTTACAGCCCTCTGTATAAGCGAGTGATCACTGTTTCATTCTTTTTGCAAGCTAAACGCTTGGAACCTCCAGCTCAGGGTTAATGGACAATCTGCTGGAACAAGAGTCACACGTGAGCTGTGTTGTCGGAATACTGCTGAACCCAATCTGAACGCACAGACTCCTCTCAGCCCCGCGCATGGCTGTTTCACAGACACCTACGTGACTTGTGTCTGGTGTGGCGCTGGTGTGCTGCTCAGGCTGCAGGCGAAAACATTTCCACAGTGGCCATGCTCGCCGGTTGCTGCCTTACTGAACCTTAAAAGGCAGGGATTAAAGCCAGGTTTCAAAATGTTAACTGCTCAGAAGAGGTGCCCTGTACATTTGAGCCTCATTTTTTTTTTTTTATCCAGTGTGTGCTGTTTATTAATTGAAATATTTTACCATGAAAATATTCAGTTTTTCCCAGCCCCGTATATCAGAGCAACAACACATCAAACAAATTGTTACAAAACAAATAGTGTGACTACTGTCGACTGCAGGCAGCACAATAAGTTAGTCTGTGAAATGTCGATTAGGAAGAAGATGGTTGCTTGGTTTTGCTTTTGCAGCATGACTGTCCTCTGCCTAGAGCAGCTGGACCAGCAGACCACATGCTGCCCTTAACAGCAGGTGGGAAGGATGAGATCCAGCACGTGCCTTGTGCCCGCACTGATTCACCAGTTGGGACTGTGGAAAATCATGCTGAAACTGTTTGCCCTCCAGCCAATGACAATATCTACATTCGGAGATTACTGCTACTGGCGCAAGTCTGATGTTTTCCAAACAGTGGGCTGGCATTGTAGGAACTGAGCATGTGTCCAAAGTCAAGCAAAAGGAAATTAGCCTAAAAATGGCTCAGGAGACAACAGTTACAATGACATCCCTCTGATAACCTGGAGAGTAGAATTTAAGAGGCAGAGGACATGTGCACAAGAATACTGTACGGTTATAAATTGTGGACTCGCATCAGAAGACATAAAAAGCATCAAATTAACTAATGGTGCTTTCAGCTGTTGACCACTGTGTGCACAATAGCACAAATAGCATAAGCACTGTGAAACAAAAAGGAACAGAGGATAGTGTAGCTATGAGGCTATGTAACTAATGTAGCTATTAGTATTCGAGTATACAATAGGTATGCTAATAAAATAAAAAGAACTCAATGTCTTTTCTTTCTCATAATGTCCAAGGTGAGCTTCTTGTTTTCTCTGTTTTTGTTTTTATTTAAATAGGTGAAGAGGAAAGCCTTTGAGCAGCGAGAAACAGGAAGCACAGTGTTTCCTGAGCACAGTGGAGCAGAATGACAGGCCAGCGCTCAAGCCCCTGCTTAATGAGGCTCTGGGATGGGCATGTTCTGCATGCAGTCGGGAATCACACAGTCTGGCTTAAGGGAAATCAGATCTTCAGAGAGAAGAATGGCATCTTTGCCAACCAGAGGAAGGGCTGAAGGATACTGCTATAAAGTCCATCACACTTGTGCGCTGATTCAGGTACTGCACCGTCAGCAGTCTTTACATTGAGAATCTTTAACATGCATCACAACCAAAAACACTGATACATTTCTGTTTTGTCAACAGCACCTACTGAGTACGTGCATTACACATTTTTGTTAAAGTCGGGATGTGCCAATAAGTCTCATATTTATTATTTTTTATGATGCTTTTAGGACACAAACGAGGAGTCGCACATTTTGTTCAGCCATGGGGTTAATGGCTGCAGTCTTGCAGGATCTGAGAGTTGGTGAAGTCCTGAGCATGTCCAGCCTTTTGATTTCTGGCAGGTGACCCAGTAAAAAAACATGGTTCTGAAGGACTAACCCACTATAGTTAAATGAAAAACAACGCATCACAGAGGAGAAGTACTGTAACATGGACCTCAGGATTACATTAACCTTATATTGCTTTCCCACTGCTACCTACTACTAGTGCCTGAAATTCATTTCTCAACCCGGCCTACTTAGCACTCATTCATTTCACCACTGGAAAAAACATTCACAACTGGAAATATACGTCATTAGCATTCAGGAACAGGGCTTTCCCATGGAGCTAACGACAGGGGTGAGATTGAAAAAGTGCAGCAGAATAAACAAATAGTACGAAATAAAAAAACCCACAGATCTCAAAGTGATTTGGAATCTTAAAGTACTGAAGGTTAATGGTACAAAATTCACAGACTCCAGGAATCCTCAAAAAGGAGGTGAAATAAAATATACATTATGCCCAAAATCTAAAATTAATCCTAAGTATCCTGTTCATTCAAAAACACTCACTTAGCAGTTCAAAAGCAAAGAAAGGAGAGACAGTCTGCATTAACTCTAAACTAAAGCATACTGTTTTTTAAGTACATACTATACACTGATATATAACTCTATTTATGGTTTTTATTTTTGTAGTAAAATGAGAAAGAGGACTCCACCCTTAACTGTGCCCTACTCAATATGAACATCTCTCCATGCTCCACTGCAGTAGTTTGTGGAAGCCCATTACACCTGGTAGGTTCAGACCTTGTGGGAGCTTCCTGGCCCATTAGAAATAGCCCAGTCCTAATAAGGACAACATTGGTCTGACATTTTAGTCTTAAAACTCAGACTTTAGTGTACAAACATTTATGTGATTGA